ATCAGTTATAGTGTCTTGTTTTGAAACTTCAGAGTACTTTAAAAACTGACTATAAGAAATATATCCATAGAGATCACTTCATTTCTCACTGATATACACCCACCTCTTGATGCCATTTGATGGTTCTTAAAGAGCCTACAGCAGCATTGTGCAAGATTTCTGACCAGAAATTGAGATGTCATACCTGTTTGCAAATGTGGGAGGGAATGTATATGAGGCTAAGAGGAATAAAATTGAACATGAAGCGGGCTCTTTTTCTGCAGTAGAATCTCATTTTGTTTCCTTTGACTTTTTAATTGTGCAAAATCCAAACCTAAAGGCAGACTAACCATTTACATTCCAAATACTTTCACTGACAAAAACAGGGACCCAGTCATCATATCCGGTAAGAACAAGTAAAGTTTAAGAATAGTCCTATCCCTCCTTTCCCTTTCACACCCTCAGTAGAATAAACACAAAGGAACACTACGTCTATCCAGGTTGGGAGCTTTTGAAAGTATCCCACTTGCTATCTGAGCTTCATTAAGAGCATCAACAACAAAACAAAGTTTTCTAGGACCGTAAAGTCAGATCCCACACTGAGGGGTAATCAGAGCTTTGCAGAACACAAAGCAAAAGTAAAGAGAAACTTCTATGGAAAACAGCAGTAGAAATTAAGACACAACATTAAACTCCATTCCATATTTTTGGATTTGGTTAGTGAGTTTTAAAACATCAGTTAAAACAAAGAAGTTCATTTTAACTTACCATACAGTAGGGTTAGAAGCTCATAGTGTCCTCTTCCTAGTCACATTGCAAAAATGCATGTTGAGTGGAAACTGGCTACTAAGCCTATTTTTACAGACATTAACAACAAGAAAGTCTGTCTTCCTCTGACTTGCCCACTTAAACAGAAAAGACCCAAATGACCAATGGACACTCTTTTCCATTCTACATGCTCCTATTGAGCATTATATAAGGCATACAGGAGAAACATTTTCAAGCTGTTGCTTGTTTAGACCAGGATTCAGGAGCTCACCCTTTTAATTATTTTTTTCTGACAGTAGTTCATTAAGGGGTCGTTTTCTCTCACTGTTTTCCCACATGCAATAGTGATTCTAATTGATGAACTGGACTTTTTACATAAATATAAGCTGTTCTCAAGATGGCAGGAGAGCTCTTTGTTTGCTGCAGGAATTTAAATGGAATTTGTAAATCCCCTAGTAACGGTCTTTCTGTTTGGAGGGATATAACTTCTGCAATTCTATTGAGCTGAAGAAACCTGTTAAGTGGAGATGTAACTAATGAACAGTTGTGGGGGTAATCTGCCTTCTCAAAGACAGAGGGCCAGGGACAGCTTTGATTATCAGCTTTCTGTGAGGAGTCATGATTTTGATAAAGGGCTGAGACACCACTATTGAAAACATTGTGAGGAGCAAACTAAGCTGCTTTTGATGTGCAAAGAAAATTCTGTGTTCCTGCAGGCTGATTAGGTCAGTAGTTTATTTCAACAATTAGTTTATGTTTGAATTAATGAACCATGTTATAAGGCAAGAGCCTGGGCAAGACACAAGACTTTTCCTTAGGTGTTAGAAAGAAAACACCAGATTATGCCCTTCTTCCTAAGAAGTCAGGGGAAAAAGTAAGCGCTTTATTCACTGTGCTGTGTCAAATGACACTTGCTTCCTACATACACACATGGAAACTCTGTTCCTGCAGTGTTACTTCCTCTTTGCCTACTCTGTACTCTCGTAAAGTGTCCTGGTTTCAGCTGGGATGTAGTTAGCTGTCTTCCTAGTAGCTGGTACAGTGCTATGTTTTGAGTTCAGGATGTGAAGAATGTTGATAACACTGATGTTTTCAGTTGTTGCTCAGTAGTGTTTAGACTACAGTCAAGGATTTTTCAGCTTCTCATGCCCAGCCAGGGCACCTGACCCAAACTGGCCAACAGTGTATTCCATACCATGTGGCGTCCCATCTAGTTTAGGAACTGGGAAGTGGGGGCGGGGGGGGATTCGCCACTTGGGGACTGGCTGGGTGTTGGTCGGCGGGTGGTGAGCAATTGCCCTGCGCATCACTTGTACATTTCAATCCTTTTATTATTACTGTTGTCATTATATTAGTGTTATCATTATCATTATTAGTCTCTTCTTTTCTGTTCTATTAAATCGTTCTTATCTCAACCCAGGAGTTTTACTTCTTTTCCTGATTTTCTCCCCCATCCCACTGGATGGGGGGGGAGTGAGTGAGCGGCTGCGTGGTGCTTAGTTGCTGGCTGGGGTTAAACCACGACATAAAGAAGAGGCAAGTCCAGCTGTTTTCTTTTAGTCTGGATAATTACTTGTGGAAATATGCAGTTAAGAGGACACGAGCGAGCGACAGATTACTGCAGGGCAGTTCTAACTAGGCTAGACTGGCAACAGAGGTGCCCCAGAGTGAGACAGGCTTTTCTATTAATCCAGGTGGTAATGGAGTTAGATCTGATTTGTAAGCCCTCCATGGACATTTAGGGTTTTGGCTGGGGTCTTGCAGTTAGAACTATTGTCCTCCATAACCAAAATGAAACAGATCTCCTTGTAGTTTGGTAGATAGTCTGTCAGGTACTGCTGACAACTCACAAGACAGATGCATTGTGCAAGCAAAAGCATGAAAGGAAGGGAAGTCAAACCGTTGTGATTATTCTATTCCCCCGTCCTCCTCAAGCAAGCTCAGTCCTTGCACTGCAGAGTAATCTCTGGAGAACTGAGCAAACCCGAGCCTTAGAAGCACCCTCGCCTCTTTGCAATACCAAGATCTCGTCTCTTACAAGGCTGTTCCCAGTGCTGATATAATGCAATACGTTGAAAAGTGAAGGACTGCCCTCTTGCGTCAGTCATTATTTTCTCATTTGCCTGGTTTTATATTCCCATTTCTATTAGTGAGTGAGCACTCAGCCATTTCCCTCCAACAGGTATTTCTTCTTTGGAAAGGCACAGGATTTGTTTCTCTGTACTGTCCTGATGGAAAAGTTCAATAAATAAAAATAATCTGCTGTATTTGTGACTTGGAGACACCCAGGACTGGGAATGTATTGCTCTTCCAGCTAGAGACATCCAAATAGCTACACTGGGTTATGCCTAGTCTCCATCTTGACGCAGAAAAAGAAGGCAGAGGAGAGAATAAAACAGGAGAAATATAATTACAAAGGACAGAGAAGAGACAGAAGAGAAGCAGATTTATTAAACCAATCTTTCCCTGCAACCCTCATAGTAAGCTATATACAAGTTAAATATAGAACCAACACTTCTCTAGGGAGCCGGACTCATGAACAGCTCACACACCATGAATGTGTAGCAGAGATTCTACTCTCACTCCTGTTGGCTGGCAGAGAGATCTTAATTTTTAAATCACTAGTGCTTATTTCCAGGGTAGTTCTTGCAGTAATGGTTGTCAGAGAATAGTCTTGTAAAAGCTGTGCAAGGTTTTGTGCCCACCACTTCTACTGCTTATTAATGAGAGACACCTAAATATCTGCAGAAGGTAGCCCCTTTTCACAGCTACCGAAGCCACTTCAGCAAAAATGAAAACCATCAGTCATATTCTTGTTAGCAGAAGGTCAGTCAACATTAATTCTGACCTAGCACTCCACACTTTATGTTACATTCGTTAATAGCACCTAGTGCTCATGATTTTGTTCCTGCTCTTATCCCACAGAAAATCCCATAGCAATGAACAATCCTGTAGATTGCTCATGTTCTTAAAATGTAGCCAAATTAGCACCCTGCTGAAGTGGATTCAAAGAAAATCACCACTCAGGAGTGCACAAAATTCATACTATTTGGAATATAGGAGGGGCAAGAAAGGGAAAGAGTTGTCATTTAAAAAGCCTCTCATAGCCCATATTTTTGTACATGCTGAGACCGCTGTAATCAACTCCAAGCTCCCCATTTTAAAATGATGCATAGCAGTTATCCTTGCCATTAGTACTTCATGAAGAATCATCCCTAGAGTAATTTCTTTGGATTATGGTATTTTGTATTCATAACTTATTCTAGATGGCACAGCTAGAGCATGCTTTGTTTCATCCTGCACATTACTGAGCTCATCTATGTACCAAAGAGGTGAAAGCTGCCAGGAATCTTTGATTTTTCCTTTTCTGTACTGACTGAGACCCTGATACCTGAACAGATAACAAAGTATAAGGCATCTTTGAAATATTTGAAACACATTAGTAATACTTAACCATGTGTGCAAATGTCTCTTTGAGACTAAATTGTACTTTAACTGGCAAAAGTAAGTAGTAAAAGGATCCCACCACAAGCCAGCTCATCTTCAAAATAGAAGTTTAAAGATTTAAGAAACCTCAAAAACAATCACTTCAGGTCTCATGGCCAAGAACAACAACAACAACAATATCTTTTCTTATATGTCTCATTCCTTGTCTCTAGTTGTGAAACATAACATAATGCATTTCCCTCCACACACTTTCCTGTCCTCATTTGCCATCTTCCTTCAGTTTAAGGAACGTGTGTGCCATTATGTAGCAATTTGCACTCCAGCAATTTGCTGGACAGTTAAGGTTCTCAAAAGAAGAGAAACTACAGAGGCTATTCAGTGTGACTTGCTCGGATTTCCCTTTCAATTCCAGTTTGGGATGCTCCTGTTCCAGAACAACAACTTGCTGTTTGGAGTGTTCTGACTCTCCATGTATGTTCCCAAGACGGCAAAATTCCCCTGACCTTTTTTATTGCCATATGCTGGACACAAGGAATTTTTTTTTTTTTTTAATCAGAAGATGAACAAGCATTCATGTCCCACTTTCACAGGCATTTTTAAACTGCTGCCCTTTTACTTCATTTCATATCCTTGAAGAAGCTTTACCAGATTACAACAGTCACAGAAAACATTTCTTCTAACTCACAGATCATTACAAGCGCATGAGAGGAAACATCTTTCCATCATAACCTGCCTGCAAAACCAAACTTTTCATGTCGTCTTTAACTCTTAGTCCTTCCCTTCCTTTACTCCCCGTCTGAAATGAGTCAGAGCCGTGGCTGTTCCTGTGTTGCATCTTCTGAATTTTCTGAATTTGTCTGTGTTGCTGGATCTCCGTTGATTGTATCAGGTGAATACTGGATGGGACTCAGCCCACCTGGTGTCATCTGTCCAGGGATGTCATTGAGTTTCTGGCTTATCTGTGCTACTTCAATGTATTGTTTACCCGTTTGGACAGCTTCATCATAAGAAGGTGGCAAGTCCATTGCATAGAGACTGTAAGCTGGAGGGGACAGAGTGTTCTTATCCATATCCATAAATATCGAAGGAATAGGGGCACTTAGAGGGTACTGCAATGAGCTATATGCTGTGAAGAAAAGGAATTAAAATAAATAATTAAACACCTGCATAGAATGATGATATATAAAGGGCTAATCCTGCTTTTCTCCAAGAAATTATGGACTTGTTTTTGTGGTGTCAGAAGATATGCACTATATACTAAAAGCTGTCAATATAGAATTACCCACGATGGAATCTATACATTCTCCAAAAGAAAGCAGTCAGAAGACAAAATGTCTTTGCGTATCACCATCCAGTAATTATTGTGAAATACCTGACATAGTGCATGTATGTTGTAACAGAGGTAGTTTCAGTCGGGTTCGTACATGAATAGCTGTGAACAATTCCTCACATTAGAGATAACTTTGGCTGGAATAGTTGGACAGTGAGATGGGCAGAAAAGTTAAAAAAATGAGGGAATGGCAATAAGAACAGAGGTGGGAGATGACACATAAGAGGTTAACCCACCTCAGACTTTATTTTAACCTCTATAACATTAAATCCTACTTGTCTTCCGCACTCACTGTGTTGCCCTGATGACCTTCCTTCATCGCTCTTGCCCACGCTATGGGGCTGAAAGTTGTTCTGGGAGTACATCAGAAAGTCCCCGTTATTGCAAGGGCTAGACACAGCATTCTAGGCACACGTTCAATAGCAAAGCACTGTTGGATATTTAACTCCCAGAGGATACTTACAGGTCACTGTGCTATGGGCAGTGCTGTCACTGTCAATAGCAGGAACTGTCAAATCATAAGGGTGCCTAGGGAAGGTCTCAACTCGAAGCCTCTTCTTCCGGCAGCAGCATTTGATGCAGCTTGCTGTGATCCCACAGAGCAGGAGCAGGAACACAGACAGCAAGATTAACCTTAGAGAAGGAGGGAGTAGATCATAATTTCATTGCTTATGTTTTACTTCTTCCAGGGCTGAATATAGTTTCGCTCTAAACGGGTGAAAGACAGGCCAAACCTCCTAGGCTTAGTTCTGAATGGGTGCTGGATCCTGAATTAGAAAGTTGGATCACAAACACTTAATCACAAGTTGAAGTACTACTGACCATCCTTTCTGGCTCACAGAGGCTGTAATGTTAATTATCTTGGGTTGTATTTTCAACTTGTATGCAGTGAGAATGGCTCCGCTTTCAACAGTAAGAGTGGGTATGTACTTGGAAGGAAATACAAGTACAAACTTCCGTAAGTGTAGGACGTATATTTATAAATGAGCACAGAAATTGTATTTTGCAGTATGTCTTGAAAACACAATTCTATCTCTAGCTATCGTTTAACGAAGTTTATCATTTAACAATTTGTAGTGTACCTAGGTCAATGTGCTAGTGTTTCAGGTTCATCTCGCAGTTGAAACTCTACCTTCTCACCCCCCCAATTTCTCAAATGAATGCACTCTTCTCATGAGCTAGGTGAGCAGCAAGACATGACATGAAAAGATGAGGTAATAAGAAATGCCTGAAAATCCTGTAAAGAAGTAGGTCCAAGGACCAAGTTGAAGTACATTCGTAGTAGTTTGACAGGAATTATTGTGTGACAGATCATGCTCCTGAATTTCTCATTAGGATTATATTCCACCCTAAATATGTATAGAAATGGCCTCAGTAGCATTCTACTCTTTTTCTAAACCAAAGGTAGTACTTGCCCGTAAGAACCATGATTCCAAAATAAACCTCTCTTTAATAACTGCTTTATTTAGTTTTAACAAGAGTATATTTCTATTAGTATGAGTCAGATGATACACAGAATGATACGAATTGTGTACAAATGATACACACTGATAGAAAGGTCAGATTTGAAGGCCTCAAACTTCCACAAATTTCATGCATTTTCTTGCAAATTACTGTTTTAGAAAAACACTTTCAGGCAACTTAAAACCGAGAAGAACATACTGCCCTGCTGGAACTTCGCATTGAAACATTCCTCCAGTGCGAGGTGTATTACCTCATTGCTAGCCAGTCAGTTATTTCCTGACACCCCAGAGGCTGCAGGCTAGTGTGCTCCGTGAAATCATCATGCCTTCAGATGCTGCTGCCCTCTGATGAAGGCAGATACCACCTAGGTAAAGGCATCTCAGCAGTATAAATCTCAGCACTAGCTCTTTAGCTTTCACGATTTCAATGCCACCTAATTACAGAAGCCTTCTTAAAATATTTCATGTAACTATGTATTTTTAAACAGTTGTATGTATCAGCACGTTCTAAGAAAGCGAAGAATATAAACCAAAATTAGTCCAGACTGAATGACAGCTAAAAGTAACCAACTCACTCTGCGTGCTACCATCAAAGTTAATATATTGACAGAAATTAATGTTAGGATACCTATAGTGCACATGTGAGGCAAGAGACAAATCCACACTTGTGACAAGAGCTTACCCTTTTACTTGGCACTGTTTTCCCTGCTTTCAGTCATTCAAACAGCCAGTAAACAGGTTTGCAGTCGGCTTGAGTTCAGAATGGAAATGCAGCACTCTAAGCTAACAATCTCTTGTCCCGTAAAAGGGAGAGAGCCAAGGACTGTGCATTAGGCAACACAGTGCCGAGCCCCAACAAGTGCACGCTGCGTAGCTGCCGTTGTGTTCAGCAAAGTTGTCTATTTCGGAAGAACAAACAAGCCCTACAGTTACACTGTAGGGTGCTCAGAAAGGAAGGATGACATATCCCTCGATGAATGCTGTACCCTGCCTGACACCTTATCTCCCCTGTGGTCTCATCTGTAATATATTCCGCTGGAAGCTTTCACAAAACCAAGGAGAAACCCTTTCCTCCATCCTGTCTGAGAGAAGAGCGTTTCCATTGCCTTACTACAATTACTGTTCATAATAACTTTCAAATTATTCTAGGTTAGTAAGATTAATAATAAACTTACCAGACATACCACAGACTTGTCCAGTTAGACATGTTCTGAGGGCATCTGTGAAGGAAGGTAGATGATTCACCAATTTAAATATCTACAGTCAAACAGTATGACAGGGAATGAATTTCACACAATTTCTGAGGTGAAAAAAGGAAAGCAATCAGTGAGAGTATGGAGCAAAACCCCTTTAGATTTAGTTCCAGAGGAGTGACTGTTCTTCAGAGTTGTAAAATTACTCCAGCTGAGAACATGCAAATAATCCCACTGTAAAAGCTGGCTTCTGAGTCAATAAGTGTTTTTACAAAGTGCTACTTTACTGTTGCTTAGGAGAGGGAACTACACATGCTGGATTCTTGAAAAACAAATCAAAGAGTTATTTAAAGTTAACTGCGATGAGGTACCTAATACCATAGGCCTGTCTGAAATGGCAGCCTAAGACAACTGCCTACTTCCCCCAGTTATTTTTAAATTACTTTTTCATAGCTCCAGTGCAGACAGAAATGTTTTTTTTCCAGATCTACTTACAGTACAAAAAAAAAGAACAGCTTCTATTACATTTCAGGGGTGCAGCTGCCGCAACAGTATCGTACGTAGTGAGTTGCATGCAATGGATTTCACGCAACAGAACAAGGCTTTTGGCCACAGAGGGGGATCGGCAAACTGACTTTTCAGAAGATGACACTTCAGAGTCATTGTGAAAGACAGGATCGTACACCTTGGTCTGCAGAGCAAGGCCAGCCAAGTCAAATTTGTAAGTTTACCAGTAACGATCTCGGGGATAACAGAAGTAGCAGCAACGGATGGCCGCCAGCGAGCCATCGTTCTGATCCGATAACGCCACTCGATCGTGACGGGAACGGGTTTGGTAGCAGACATTTGACAGATTTCGATTACTCACTGATCGGAGTTCTTGCGGTTACTCTCGGATGAACAGCGCGATGCCTAAGAACGGGCAAAACCGACAAGCAGGCGGCCAAGGGAGAAGCACCTGTTTTATCCGAGGCATCTGCTTAGCGGAGTCCCGCGGTGCAGCCGGTTCCAGTCGTCCACGCAGCAGCACGGCCGCCGCCGCCGCCGCCGCAGCGGGACTCGCTTCAGGGACCAGCCGAGCGGCCGCGGCGCCCGACCCTCGCACGGGAGACACCGCACGGAGCCCGCGGGGAGCCCGAGGTCCGCGCTCCGCGCTCTGGGGCCGCCCCCGCCGCCGGCAGCTGAATAAATAACCCGCCATTATCACGCGGGGTTGCCGTGCCCGCCCCAGCCGCGCCGGCCGTCCCACGGCGAGAGCCGGGCAGGGCCGCCCCCGCGTCCCCCTCCCTTCCCTCGGCTCGGCTCGGCTCGGCTGCCCTCG